GGGGGGGGGGGAGAGACATGGAGTCCTGTTCCTGTTGCTTGGGACAGACAACAGAACTTGTCTCGTTTATTTTGGATCCTTGCCCCTGTCCATTGGTTTGAGACTATGGAGGTGTTCTACAAAGCAGAATTTCCCAGTTAGCCGGATAACTTAAGCCGAACTTGAAAACTGTCCAACAGGAGGAACGTGACATTCCTGACATTTGGCTTAAGATATCTGGTTAATAGAAAAATCCTGCTTTTGTGGAATACCTCTCCATATCGGTGCCCTTGCTTACATGTAAAACTGCACTTATCTGGTTCCCAACTGGTATCCCAGCATTCCCTGGGGGGAGGGTTAGAGACCATTATGAGGCTTAGAATTAGGGCCCCCTCCCACTCATAGTAAGAGAGTGTGCCATTAGCCCTAAGCTGGATGTCTTCAAAGCGTCGATCATCTGCAATTTTAACCCAAAGAACATTTAAACGTTCCTGTCCTGTCCCCCCCTGCTCTGACGGGCCTGCCATTGTCACTTTTGTGTTTTTTGGCAAAGAATGGTAGTGGGGGGGGGGGACAGCAGTGACAAGTCAGCCAAACCCCAGGGACTCCAGCTGACACCAGCGCCTGACCCCCCCGCGGTGAGTCGGAATGCTGGCCTCTCTTCGGGCCACGTCGATGTGTCCAGGAAGCAGTCAGATCGCCACTGACAAGGACGTCACTCTCGCTCCCTGGGGGGTGGGGTGGGGTGGGGGGGTGCCATATTGTGTCCTGGGGCAGGAACAGGTGCTGCCATCATCTGCTGAGACGTTCTGCCTCTCCTTTCATCCCCCCTTCCTGTCTGGCCCCTTCTCTCTCTGATTTCCTCCGCTGTTGACAGTGTGAAAACCCCACGCCCTGCTCTCCCCTTCAGCATCTGCTCCCCCTCTAATTGAAAAATGGAGAAAATCAAAGCAGAGAAAAGTTCAAGCCCCCCCCCCCCCCATTGTGGTGATGAAGCTGACAGACTTCACGAGACACATTTCCGGGGTGGGACGCGGCTTCCTGAAGCATGGGCCGCATTCAGCTGATCTGTGGCCTGGATCAGAAGCTTCCACTCGGTTCCGCTCGGTGGTCCTTATGGCCCCGGTGAGAGCGGGGTGGGGGGTGGGGGTGTCCAAGCGATGCTAACGTGCTAACTCGCAGCTGGGCACCGATGGGGCGGCTGAGCTTCCGCCATTGAACAAGGCAGTAGCTCTGACTGGTTTGCTGCTTAGCCTGCTGGGCCAGATGGGCGGCGGCGCTGATCGCAGTGCGGACGCTTCATCAGGGAAGGTCAGCGGTCGGGATGCTTTGGGAGGATGAGAAATGACCTGTGAGGCTTTTAGGTTGGGTGGGGGCAGGCCTGGGTTCCAGATCTGCTGGGTTTTTCACACTTATAAGCCTTTTAGCTTGAATGTGGCCGTAAGGCGGCGATTCCGGGCGTGACTCTCGTCTCTGTCTCTTACAGCGCAGCATCGCCTACCTTTTCCCTTCCGGACTGTTCGACAGGAAAGCCCGACCCGTCATGAAGGTAAGCGGGGAAGCCGAGCCCCCACCTCGCCGTACGGCAGAATGGACGACGGCGGTGAGCTAATGGGCCTTTTCCCATCTATCCACAGCACCCGGACGAAATATTTCCCAGGCAGAGAGGTACGGCGTTAAGGCGTGTCTGTTTTGGACATTTGGTTAGTTACGTGCCTGGGGGGGTTTAATTACCAGCCCAGCTGCCCATAATCTGCCCCGCTACACTTAGTCTGTGCTTATCCTATGCAGGGTAATCACTGAATTAAATGCTGTTTTCTGACAAGTTTAAAATTTGCGTGTGTTTTTTATGTTTTATTTTTGTCCCAGCTGTTCAGTGGAGTGAAGATGGGCGCCCCCTCCACTTCCTCTTCTACACGGGGAAGACGTCATATTACTCCTTGGTGCATGTGAGTATTGGGTGACTATGGCGCCGCCTGGTGGGGGCCAGTGAGGGGCAAATGGGCAAACAGGCTGGTGTTCGGTGTGGCACTGAAGTGTATCGCATGAGGATAAGTGAAGATGCCAGATCTGAGCTGATTCAGAGGCGTGATCTGACCCAGACGCGGGAGCTAAGGACCCGAGGTTCTGTTCTGCCTCAAACCGGTGACGGTCACTGGGCCGGGGTGATCTGAACAGGAGGGAGGCTGTAGCTCTGTCGTCCTGTTTTGGTGGGAGGTGCCCCCCCCCAGCAGACATGTATTATGGCCGCCGATGAATCTTCCTCTGGTTCCTGAAGTGGGTGCTTTGTGTGGGGGGGGGGGATGACTGTCCAACACTGGGATTCTTTTCTGGCAGAAGTGGCTGTTTGACT